TCGGGTGCAGGGAGCACAGAGATGAAGGGATGCCAGCTCCTTCCTGCAGAAGCTTGCCTCTAGAGCTTCCCAGACAGACACTCTAGCAACAGACAGACACACCAGCGAATAACTTCTCTACACTCAGACACACTATGCCCCTGCTTTCTTGGACAGTGTATTAGAAAAGCAGAAAAAATATTAGGACTAAATACTATAATTCCTCCCTCTCTTGATCACCAAGCCCAATTATTATTAAGAGCTTTAATGTATGTTTAATAGCTTGTTGCCCGGGAACAAGGCATTGAATCAAAATCATTTCCTTCATTCACAAACTCCCCCCAAATATTGCAATACTGGCATAAGGAATACAAGCAATTAAACAAGACAAGGATTTGGGGTTATGTGTCTGAGAAGGGAAATAATGACACCCCAGATGATTTATTTACTGCATTCATGCAATCACAAATGCCCCGTGAATGCTGATTTCACATTGAGGCTGCTGGCATAATGCATCAGGCATTAAATTCACGAACATTTCTTTAGAGCTGCTTAGCTGAAGTTTATCACGATCATTCAGCCATTGCCTAGCAACTTGCAAAGGCTATCAAAGAGCTCTTTGTCCTCGGTCCTGGCAAAAACAGTCTTCACAGATCTCCTTATCAGCATTAGAACATTTATCAGAAAAAAATGCTTCCATTGAACCAGAGATGGCTGCGAATTTAAAGCTACCCCCTTCCCATTTTGCTCCGTCTTCCAAGTATTGTAGGAAGTTATTTCCTAGTGTAACTAGCTTTGATTTGTTTTTTGTTAAACATTCCAAAGGAATTTTCTCAAGATGCCTCTTAATTTCTTCTATTGCTATGGAATCTGGGCCAACCCTAAAAAACACAGACCTGAGCTCCTGAAAGGGTTATCTTCTCAAAAATAAGTGAGACAGACATTCCCACCCCCTTAGGAGGGAAAGGTCACCATTTTAAGAACACAAACTATAAACATGTTGGGCTTCCTGGTTTGAGTGAAGATTCCTTCAGGGAAGCAAAGAATGATACGGCTGCTCCATCCAGTTGGAGAGTGGTCTTGAACATCATGAAGAGAAGAGGAGCTGGGTGGGCGGCGCCTGTGGCTCAAGGAGTGGGGCGCCAGCCCCATATACCTGAGGTTGGCGGGTTCAAACCTGGCCCTGGAAAAACTGCAAGAAAAAAAAAATACAAAAAGAGGAGCTGTGCTTCTTGATTCATTCCACAAATACTTAGCACCATCCATGTACCCTCGCACATAGGTACTGTGGTACAAAAACAGGCACTATCTCTCCCTCGTGGAGCTGCCAGGATTAATTAATTTCCTTGAGTGGAATGTGGGGAGGGGGTTGTTTATCGGCATTTTCTCCTCTATCACTTCAAGATCATCTGCCCCCACAGCCCAGCTGGGATTGGTTTAGTTCAATGCCTTGTCATTTTTATCAGTTTTCATCCGGGGCATGTAAAACAGCCACCTGTCAGGTCTTCCTCCTTCCAGCCTCACCATCTTCAAACCATTTTCTGCTTTCCTATAAAATTCCCTTCCTCTTAAAAATTGTTTATGTGGTCCCTGTTAACACCAGGAGGATGTGTGCCCTCCACACGATGGCGTTCCTGGCTTCTCGGTGTGGACACTGCTTGGCTGCCCAGAGGCCTCACGAGCTCCTGAATTTCAGCCGTCCCAACCCTTGGAGGACAGATACAGACTTCTTTGGGCTTCTGAGCCTTGCATGCCTTGTTCCTCCAGTCTCGAACCCTCTTTCACCAGCCACCTCGCTCTCTTATCAAGATCCCCAGAGTCAGATGTGCCTATTCTGGGGCCATTATCGTGCTGGAGTTACTTTTCTTAGAGAACTTTTCATCAGCAAGCCAGCAGCTGGCCAGACCCTGGAATGTTTGTTGAGTTAAATTCTCCTTTCTGTCTATGACAAACAAGAAAACAAAAAGATATCTTGTGGGGCTCTAGAAAAGCTGGCAAAGAATAAGATGAGTTCACAGAAATAATTGAAGAATAACACACACACACACACACACAGAGCCAAAAAATTGGTTAAAGCAAACTTATATTAACAGCTCTTTCTCCTGGATAATGTTTGATGGCAGGGTTGTCCTTACATGGAGGTCACACCAGCAGACATATCCCTGGAGTGACTTAGAAGAACATGCCCACAGTAGTCCCTCCAGCTTCCTCACTGCCTGCAAGTCTACTGTTAGATATTTATTTGTTAGGTTCTTAAAATATGTGCTTTCTTAAAATATTCATATTTTCCAGAGAAGGTACATCTCCAAATAATACATTCATCTTGTCCTTTCTTGACTGTGAGATGAAGGGGAGATAAGAGAAGACCACGGAAGGTCTGAAGAGGAGGAGTGGTTGTAGGAGGAGAAAGACAGCTTCATGCTTCCTCCCCGAGACACACTGATACCTGTCTTCAAATCGATTAGCTTTTAATAGCTGCAGAATGATGACTCATTTTTGCTGATGACAGAATAAAAGGAAAAGGCTTGAATTTTTAAGCCTACTTGCTAATAGAATTTTTATAATTTACATTCAAAGAAAAGACTTCCTTGTAGTCCTAAAATGCAAGTTATTTACAACTAAACTTGTTGAAATATGCTTAGATGATTGGAGACAGCAGGTTTGATAGACGATCTGTGGATTACCTGTGGTTCTGTGGAATGCATTGATGAGTAAGTCGTGGGAAACAAGCTTATCTCTGCTGTGAATCTCATGGCTCTACCATAGGCCTTGTTACTGATAAGAACATTACCTTGGTGGAGCTGATCATGACCAGTGATTATGCAAGCCACCTAGATGAACCTCTTCAGGGAAGACAAATCAAATACAAGATAGAGGATCTCTTTGTTCAGATTTGCCCATGTGGCCAATGGTCATTTTTCTTAACACTCTCTGATTAAGGATGTGCTAAGCGATACATAAATCCTGATCATCTGTAATGTAAAAAAAGCAGCTAAACTTTTGACCTAAAGTGTGCCCCATTCCATTGTAACTGAACTCATTAAGCGCTGTGTGAAGTAGTGATCTGGCAGGTAGCTGATGAATTGAATCAACCCTAAATGGCTAATCTCACCCTCCCCAAATCCCTACTCTACAAAAAAGCATTAAAAATCAGGATTGATTTTCAAAATGATTATCAATCAAATTAACCCGATAATTATTCAGCTTCTAGTTCTTCACAGTTTTCCCTGGGATTTGCCTTGTTGGCTCCAGACCAAAATGCCCTGGGTTGTCTGAATCTCTATGAAACAGGTCTCGACACCTTCACCACTGCCTGGCAGGAGTCCTGGCCCACAGTCAGCCCTGAGGACCTGGGTTTGAACTGAGAGTAAAGCCTGTAGTAGGTAGCTCTTCTTGGTACCTTTATAAATTTACGAAACAAAGTTTAGGTTTGCAGCCCCCTTCTGAGGTGGTCGACTGCTCCATGTTTGATTCTTTTGCTGTACTATGGGTATGGGTAAAAATACCAGATAAAGTCCTGTGGCTGGTATATCACATCTGGGGAGGGAAGGGTATGCAGCTTCAGCTCAGTTTTTCACAAGAGATTTGAAACAAACAAAAAAAAAGATCATATATTCATGAATGCAAGAATAAAAATAACAGTAGGCCTAAATTCCCCATTTTATTCTATAGGGAACATTTAAATCCCAGTCGGCTTTATAAACAGACCTGGTCTCCTTTGTTCAGCCAGTGGACCAGGCTGAAATAAAAGTCTATTGTTGGTTGAATCTAGACACAATGAGGTCTGCGGCTTTCAGTCCTGCTTAATAGCCTTTACCATGTGGGAGACTTTCAGAGAAAAAAAAGAAAAGCCAGAAACAGTAAAAAGTGGGGAATTTCTGTTCAGCGGAAATGGCTGCATCCCAATCAGCAACCTCCAGGTCACAGTTTGGCTCTGCTTCCATTTTAAGGTTTGGGCCGTGGTGAGTTTTCTCCTGGTCACCTTAGAAGCAAAACTGTAATACAACACGTGGCCTTCCCAGCATCCCCGGTGCTGGGTGGAGGTCCGTGTCCTGGAGTCCTGCAGGGTGTGTGTGCTTGTTCTCCACGCCTTTCCATTTGGTCTGAGGCCAGCCGTCGCCAGTTCACTACTACGTATATATCTCATCGCTTTTCAATGCAAAGAGCCTCTCTTGGAGTTGTGAAGAATTCTGACTTGCAAGGAAGAGGCCCCTCGTGTATTTCAAATAAAGATTTACAGACGAGAGTCCATTTATCTCGAATAAAACCTGGTTTTAATTATATTTTTGTATATTGTGATTTTTCTGTAGGTGTCCTTGAGGCATTTGTTTCTTCATTCATGACTGATTGTAAAATTTCTCACTGTCCAAAATGAGAGTCAGACCCCTACACTCGGTTTCATGATAATCAATAACTTAGACAACAGCTATCAATAATGTCAGCTGTGATACTCCATCAGTGTGTGTCCAATGGCAGATGAAATTTTTAAGGAGGAGTTTGGTGGCCTATGATACTACATCTTTCTGTACAACGTATCCTCAAAATATTTTAAGATTATGTTTATCGTTTACTCCAGGGGATGGTTTTTCTTTTTGTAAAACAATTTAACCACTTTGTACTTTGACTTATCATTGTATACTTTATTTCTCTGTGAAAACAAGCATGAGGGGAGAAGGAAGTCTCTGGGGGCTATCAGATACAGTATTGTTGATAAATTTTGCCACAGACAGAACCCTTGGGCTTCTCTGCTCCTCCACCTAAAAAAGAAAAATCAATGTAACAAAGGTGTGCTCTTCCTTCTTTATGACTCCACAGAAAATTGTTCTGGTATTGTTTTAATGCTACGATGATACTAAGTGTGGATGTAAGGGGATGACTGGACTTGGAACCTGGCGTCATCTCTGCTCACTGCTGCCCGTAGTGCTCAGTCTGGTGCTGTGAGCTCAGTTCTCATCCCTGAGCCAACATCGCAGAAGCCACTATCCTGCCTCTCACTCCGCTCCCCCTGTGCATCGTTTCAGGTGTCCACTGTGACAGTGTCTGTGCTGAGGGTCGCTGGGGTCCCAACTGCTCCCTACCCTGCTACTGTAAAAATGGGGCCTCGTGTTCCCCCGATGATGGCATCTGTGAGTGTGCACCAGGGTTTCGAGGGACCACTTGTCAGAGAAGTAAGTGTCCTATGAGGCGGTCATTTCCTTCTTCCCCTCCCAGGTGCCATGTGCAGAATAATGACCTCTGTCCCACCTCCCAGCTTAGAGTGACATCCTGTAGCAGTTGAGAGAAGAGAGGATAACAGTTCACCTGTCCTTTGCAGAACTTGTCCTCATTGGCACTTCCCCAAGAACTTATTTTCCTCAACCTTCAGAACTAACGACAGATGGGGCTTTAACCATTTCCTCCCAGTTATCATTTCATTATCTTGTTGGCAACCATCATCAGGATGTGTTTCTCGATCTTTCCTGAAAGCTTGCAAATGGTGTTCCAGAAATTCATTGACCTGTAAATATTTTACTCAGTAATTTGGCATTGGCCTTGCCTCAATTAGCAGAAGTCAACATCAGCCAAACCTTGAGGCAAATCATACATCTTGCTGGTACCAGGTAGTCTTAAAGTCAATGCCATGGGGAAAATAGAATTTCAAAGTTAAAAATGGGGACTGTTGACATTGGTCAGTAGAATTTTTGAGTTAGGAAATGATCCACAAGACTTTACTAAATCAGGAAGTGTAATCAAGAAACAAAAATGTCCATTATAAGCAATCCTATTGTAATTTTTAAATACTCATTCAGAACCCTATTCGGTTATCCTATATTTCAATCCAAGAAATATCTTGGGAAGAACTTAAATATATAGCCTTTTGCTTAATTACTTCTTGATTGCAATCATTAACCTGGACCATTTTAAAGAGGAAAAAAAAATCTAATTTTGACTGTAGATCTATTTATTGCTAGTAATGAATAAAGGTTCAACAGATGACTTGAGAGTACGTACTTAGGACCTCTTATCATTGGGAATTTTACTTTCTTCATGTCTTTATTCATTCAACAAAAATTCTTTGAGTTTCTGCTCTATGCCAAGCCTTGAGCTAATTGGGGCCTCAAATGGGAAAATTAAGAGGACTAAGACATTTGCTTGCCCTGAAGGAATTCGTAGTTCAGGGCCTTCTTTTCCTTATTAAAGAAAGCCCTTGTTTCTTTTGTCATTCTTGTTTTATGCTTGGACAATTCTCAGTATCTTTTTTTCTTAAAGTTTTTTTTTTTTTTTTTTTTTTAACCCTCCAAAACTTTAACTGCCTCCTGATGTGGAATGCCAGAGAAATGCATCTCAGAAAGATAACAGTTGGTTTCCCTTCTATTTGCAGTCTGCTCGCCTGGTTTTTATGGGCATCGCTGCAGCCAGACGTGCCCTCAGTGTGTGCACAGCAGTGGGCCCTGTCACCACATCACCGGCCTGTGTGACTGCTTGCCTGGCTTCACAGGCGCCCTGTGCAATGAAGGTAGGGCGCACGGCATGGTGGGGCGCACGGCAGGTGACGAGAAGCCTCCTGGAGTCCATCCTCCAGCCTCCTCCCAGGCTTCCCCTTTTCAGCTATCAGCCATCAGTTCCTACTGGTGTGCTGTGTCTGCAGCTTCTGAAACAGAGCTTTGAGCTTTGGAAAAGCTGACTTGCCACTCCAGCAAAACCTCTTTATTCTCTGAGCTGTGCTACTCTTCAGCTTTAATTGGAAACATCCTCTCATGAAAAATCAGTAGGAGGAAGGATTTCGTCTCCCTGAGTGAGAAGCCCTGGTGAAGTCAGATTTCTGGAGGTGTGATGATGCCTCTTGGTTTGTGATGCTTTAATGAAGGTCTTTGGCTTCTATGTGGTTGTAAAAATGAGACCATTCCAGATGAAGGAGGCTGTCGGGCAGAGATAGCTAGCAAATGTGCAGCTGGATTGGGGACCTTTAAAGTCATCTCCTATGCTGGGAATCTAGGGTCCCTTGAGATGGGTTGTGATTGTGAGTTACTGACCTATAGCTTATTCACAGTGTGTCCCAGTGGCAGATTCGGGAAAAACTGTGCAGGGATTTGTACCTGCACCAACAACGGGACCTGTAACCCCATTGACAGATCCTGCCAGTGCTACCCCGGCTGGATCGGCAGTGACTGCTCTCAGCGTAAGTCTTGTTCGGGACCAATTCATCAACTCTTCTTGTTTGTTTGTTTTCAAATTATTTAGGATTAAAGTATCAGTCTTATATAACTAAGAGAAAATATATGACTAATTATTAGAAGATATATTCTGTAGTAGTTTTTAAATTCCTTTTTTTTCCATTAAAAGCTCTATATAATAGTATTTCAGTTCTAGTAATGGTCTTGGGGAGAGCCTAACTATGTAACATGTTGCTTATTTACTTTTCAATGACTCACCATCCATTCACTAAATTAAAGCAAAAACGGTTGTATGTAGTAGTCAATCTCTTCATTTTGTGTTTTTCTGGAGAGTTGATTATGGATAAAAAAGTAGAATTTAAATAGGGTAAGGTTTAGAAACTCACTGGGGTCATGAGAACGCCACCCACTTACCTGCAACACACAGGTTTACCTCCGCCTCAGCTTCCCCCAGGGGACTCCCACACCACTGGATGGCAGATAGGAATTGTGGTACCCAATTAGGGACTATGGAGATTTAGGTTACTCATGTCATGAAAGGATAACATTAAACATAAGTCATTGGCTAATGCTTTGAAAGGGTCAGTGAAACTTCTGAAAGTATTCAACTTTTGACCAAGGAATTTACATTGAATCTACGCATTCTGTATGTTAGAGAAATCAAAGACTGACTGTGTACTGACTTCACATGGTAGTTTTTTGATCATGTCATTCAAACTGCACAGCCCTAATCAACCTGCAAATGTGAATCTATGAGCAGTGTATTTTAGCCTGAAGATTTTTTTCTGAATGTTTTTTATTTTCCTTGAATAGTTTGAGCTGCACCTCATTTCTGAAGAATAGGGAAACAAAGCCAACACATCTTGAAAACATAACTTGGTGAAAGAAGTATTCACATCTACGTGTGTTGGAAGGATTCGGAAGGCTTAGGTTGGCACATGGACAGATGAAGGAATAGATACTCAAGTCAGGGTTTGGGAAGAAGAAAGAGCCCAATATTATTGTCATAAAATGATTGATTTAGCTTTGCTTCTTTTTAAAGTACTCTTTATTTTAGAACTTGGTCACTTCCTCATTTGGAGGAGGAATGTGCTGGAAGGAACAAAAATGGGAACACCAGAATGAATGGAGGCTATAGTGTTGCCCTCCCCTGTCGTCACTCCAGAGGAAGCTGATTTATTTGGCAAAAGCCTTAGCTTCTCTTGGGAATCATTGATTTCATTGATTCCCTTATGGACTCTGTGGAACCATCTTAATATTTCTTCTTGGCTGATTGCGAATCTGTTTTAAGAGAAGAAAACCCTTTGTAGTGAAAACAGAGACTTTGAAATGTTAAAGGGGCACACTTAAAGGGGCAGGTGTCCTTGGCAAAACAATTTGTTTTAAACCCCTTGTCTACATTTTGCTTTTGGGGAATATAAAAGGTGAGTGATCCTTATTTCCGTTCTCTGATCATAACTATTAAAGAAGTAAGCCTAATGCAAGTGGACTATCTTAGGAAAATATATTATGAATGTCGAAAGGTTCACAAAGGTCTATTAAATATCAGCTAAGGAACGCATGGTTTTAGGTGTAGAGAACTTCACTTAGCATCACACAGGCTGGAAACTCCAGAAGTTTCACCCTGTGTCTTGCTGTGGTCTTGAAGAGAGAAACTGTATTAACAAATAACCAATATTGTCACTAATCGGTGTGACCTTGGACAAGTCACTGTTAACTTTTTTGGGACTTGAGCTTTTTCATCTGTAAAATGATGGTGTTATAGTGAGAAAATTGCTTCTGATGTTCATTCCAGACCTTGAATGTCAACCATCATTTTTCCCTTGCTCGTGGGCAAAACGGTGCACATGATTATGTAATAATTTTTTTTATTATAAAAAATTCCTTTAGATGTATTACTTATTTTTTTTATTGGTTCATCTTCCTCACTGGGTAGCCTCATAGAAATAGCAGGTGGTCCTCCTTGTATACGATTATGTTCTTGAAGCATTAGTGTGAATGAAAAGCTTTTTGTGTAAATCAAATTCTTTTAGCTCATGACCTGACTTTATTATTTCACAGATGCTTTCTCTGATTTTCTGATTGCTCTTCAGTTGGCAGTGACCCCTGATGATTTAGTTTTATTATTTTCTGCTTCTTCCAATTAAGAGTTTTTATTAGTAAAGCAATTTTTACATACAACTGGGAACCTTACCATTTTTTAAAGGATCCTAAAGTGAAAACTCTTGAGTCCAGGGAGGGTAGATTTCCATGATCTTTGGTCCCTTAACTGCTCCTGAGTCAAATCATTTCCCCATTTGACTTCTGTTTAAATGCCCCCCTCCTCAGAGAGGTCTTCCTTGAGAGGTCTTCCTTGAAAGAGTAGCTCCCATCATTCTCATCTTCCTTACCTCATTTTTTTTTCCATCCCACTTATCCCCATTATTTTTTCGGTTGGTTGGTTGGCTGTTTTGCCAGACTCCCCCATCTAAAACACAAACTTCCAAAGGTGGTTGGTTTGGACTTTGTCTTGCCCTCTGCTACCTCCTCTGGGCCTAGGATAGTGCCCTGCACATAGTGGGTGCTGAATGTGTGTTTTTTTAATAACTGCAGTTGTCAATATGCGATGATTTTCTCTGCCGCCTCATCCTGCACTTGTAAATGAAGGCAGATGTCAGCAGCGGTGGGCCTGGTGCAGGCAGCGTTGCCCTCTGGGTTTCAGTGCAGCGTTTGGAGCAGTGTGCTTCCTTCCTCCTCATGTCCACTGCTGGCCTCTCAGGCTCAGGGAGTCGTGTAGGGGTGTATGGAATTCTCTCTCCTTGGCCTCAGAGCTCTGACAGACCTCTCTGCGTTTGTGGTTTCAGCTTGTCCACCTGCCCACTGGGGCCCAAACTGCATCCACACGTGCAACTGCCACAACGGAGCCTACTGCGGCGCCTACGACGGGGAGTGCAAGTGCACGGCTGGCTGGACGGGGCTCTACTGCACTCAGAGTAAGGGCGGGCTTCTGAGGTCCGCAGTGGGCCACCTTCCTCTCCCGGAAGGATGCAGCCTCGTTCTCTGCAAGCAGAATCTGAGCTCACCAAGGGTCCCTGGCATCAGGGTGCCTTATCTACCCGGTGACCTCTAGACTGCATTTCTCTAAGTGTTTGAGAGCTACCATGTTCCAAGTATTCTATTCTGGGACACTGAGGAAGGCGATGACCTATCAGGGTGTGCAATTTCTTTCTCTTCTCTCTTTTAACCAGACGGCAATGATGTAGGTCCAATTGCCTGTCATTTGTTCTCACAGAACAAAGTTAGGATAAAGGATAGAGGTTAGCAAGGTGGTGAAGACAACACACCTTCCCACCTGACTTAATACGTGATCGTGGAAAAGATGGAGGTCAGTGGTTCTGAAAGGTGGATCTTCAGAATTGCTCCGAGGATTTGATAAATACAGAATGCCAGCCCGCTTTAGTAGGTCGGGGTTGGCACCTCGGCGTTTCCGTTTTGATCAGCTGTTAGTAATGGCAGCTGAGGACCATGCTTTGAGAACCCCTGCTTTTTTCCATTTTATATCCCACAGTGTCCTAACCATTTTTTCTTCCATGAGGTCTTTAGCAAAATAAGATTTGTAAAGCACTTCAAACCTGAGCATTATTGGGAAAAAAAATTGTGAAAAGATTATTCTCTGCTCTCTTGCCTTCAGTTGAATAAGGGAAACAAGACAGGGAGGCATGTATTGTGATTAATATTAATAGTAATGTACAATTAAAATTATAGCAATGAGCTGAGGAGGAAAGATGGGTCAGAAATTAGGCAATTCTTGTTTAATACCAATTAGAGCACATAATTAGAGGATCGGCTGAGTAAGTCTTTTGAAACTTTCTAGAAGGGAGTGTAGACCTTAAACCAAGATTTGAAAGGGAAAATTTGTGAGGAAAGAGGTTAGCCCAAGAATATTTTGCAGAGATTGAATATCTATAAGGTTATTTAACTTATTATAGAAGAGTACTTATATTATTAATATTAACAATTCTTGATTAGGACCTGCTTTAAACAGAGGACCTTTTTTAAGTGGAGGTAGCATGATACAGTGGGGAAGACACAGGGTCTGCAGCCAGACCTCTTGCATCATGGTCCTTGCACCATCCTTCCATTTGGTAGCTGTGACTTAGGGCCCTCTGGGCTTAGTTACTGCCTATAGGATGAGACTGTCTATTCCTGCATTTCTGGGCTGCTGTAAAGATTAAGGAAGAGAACACAGGAAAAGAATCTGGCCCAGAGTAGGTGCTAACCAAATACATGTGACCAGATAGGCCATCACAGTCTCTCTGTTCACTGCCTCCGCTTCTTAAAAGTTGGGTGTTTTTGAAACTTCATCATACAAAAATGATAAAATGAAAAGCATATGTAATATTTGGAAACAACCATCAAATCAGCATGTATCAAAGCTTTTATTATGCCAGAGAGCCCTGAAACTCTGACGGGGCAGCTGCCAGCCCATAAGTGCCAGTAGAGCTTGTCTTTAGCCCAAGTGTCCCAGTGCTGTAAGCCTTGGAAATTGTATAAAGCCTTATTGGTTTTTACAAAGCACCTGTGAAACATAGTTATTTTTTTTAAGTTAAGAATTCTACCACACATCGTCAATGAAGGTGATATTATCTAGGTTAATGATAGACGTAGTAGACAAGGCTAGCAGTAGTGGTGGAGATATTGTCTACTGTAAGTAAAAACATACAGATACTTTTGATATAAAATACTCACTTCAGCCCATGGAATTTGAGTCTTGGGTTCTAGCAGTTGAGTGAAAGAAGGAAAGGAAATGCCCCATGCTTTGGGGCTTTGGTAGGAGACACTCGTCTCGCCTTCTGGGGTACTGATGACAGTTACCCTGACAGGTGTGGAACTCATCTGCCTCCTGCTTATGAATCACAACCTCCTTGCAAGAGCCCAGTCTTGGGATTTCAAAGAAGCTTTTGGGACAAGCTGAGATGTGCACTGACGTCTTTATTCTCCAACAGCTCCGCGTCCTTCAAGTTTAAGCACGCATTTGTGTTGGGAGGCGCGAGCTGTTTCTCTTCAGCAGCCTCTTGACTCTCGCTGTCCTCCCTCCTCACACAGGATGTCCCCTGGGGTTTTATGGCAAGGACTGTGCGCTGATATGCCAGTGTCAAAACGGAGCCGACTGTGACCACATCTCAGGGCAGTGCACTTGTCGCACGGGATTCATGGGCAGGCACTGTGAGCAGAGTGAGTAGCAGAGCCTCGGGTCACCCGGGGGTACCTTTTCCCCTGGAATCAATTTTACGAGCTGCCTGGGAATAGGAAGGCAGAATTCGCAACCCTAAAGTTGTTTGGGCTGATGGCTGGTTTGAGCTGCTGGCACCACTGACTCCTGCTCCAGAGGCCTGGCCTCCCTGCGGTCCTTGCTGGCCGCCTCTCCGTCACACTCCTCCTTCTGAGTAACTGACTGCTCGGTGCCTGGGTGGAGGAGGTGTGACTATAAGAATGAAGACAGAATTCAGGTTTTCCATTTGTTCTTTCTGGCACTCTATTCCTTTCTTATTTTTGGAATGTGGCTGCCCAGAGCTTTACAGGAGCCAGTCAAGCTTTCTTCATGGCAGAGGCCTGAGCGTGGCCTTGCACGGAAGGATGGTGCATTGTCAGGGAGGAGCCCATGCAGACATCGCCAGATAGCCTTCTCCACCTAGTCCTTTTCTGCTGTTTTCACTAACAATTTCTCCTCTTAGTTTTTACAACCTCAAGATAGAATATTACCTTTATAAAGTTTTTTTTTTTTAATCTCCCTGGGAGAGAATCTGCTTCACTGAAGTGACTCATCCTGTGTTTCCATCCCCCAGCTCTGCATCTGCTCACGGGGTTCTAAGAACTTTAGTCTTTAGCTGACCATTTTAAATTAACTCATCATTTCTTTCCTCTGTGACTTTCATGCAGTATTTAAAGTAAATAAGAGTTTAGGGCTTTGGGGGGGCTCATCTCTCATGGTAGAACCCTTTGGGGCAGCAAAAGTACCCAGCAGTTCCCACCCAGCAGAGACTGTCCTCTTGGAGCAGCCACGGATGGCTGCAGGTACAATGTGGTCTTGAAAGGCTGACCAGGACTGCAGGACTTTGGCAGTGAAGCATCCCTGCCCGCTCACCCCACCAGCACCTCACAGAGCCACTGGGCAGCCAGGTTGCCTCAGGCTCACTTGCTAACCCCCAGAATATCTTTGCATGTCTTCTCTCCAAGAGTGACATCCAGGCATACGCTCCAGACAGAGATGGCCCGATTTTAGTTTTCGCACTGCTCTTTCATTTAAGCCTGAAACAGGGACTGAGTCACACCCCTAGGTGTGTATATGAACATTGTGTGTATGTGAAACATCTAAGTATAAGCATAGAAACCAGAATATAGTCAGCCTAGGCTGACTTTGATTTGAATGGCTGATGACTGGTTAAGGTCTTATTGAATAAAAACCTTTTAAGTGTTTCCGTGATTACTCTGAATGCCCAATTAAAATGTCCCTATTTTGGGGACACTTCTCCCAATGTTCATTTGTAAAAAGAAACCCTGTGTATAATAGCACATTGCCCCCTGCTGCCCACTTTGCAAAGAACATCGCTATTTTGCCGTGAGGATTTTTAGATTGAACCTGCCTGTACTGCTCTTTGAAATGTATGCCCAACTCTTATTAAGACTGCGGTGTAAGAATCCCACTGTTTTAGTCTCTGGGACTTTGACTTGCAAATTCAAAGTTTGAAGTATTCCATGGCAAATGAAATTCTTACCTAGACAAGGAACAAAACATTCCCCCTCTCTTCTCCTACTCTCAGCTTACCTGAGCGAGAATGTTCCTTTACAAGGGCCACTGAGCATACAGTGAAATATGCATGTGCTCCAGGAAGCATCTCTGGTTTTTACTTTGCAGTCCATGCCCCTTCGAGCCTGCAGTTTTGCCTGGTTAGTCATCTCACATTGCCCTAGTGATTATCTTCATCTGTCTCATGGGGGTCCTCCAGACTCCCCCATACACACATGGGGGAGGAGGGTAGGTAGCAGCGGAAAGTGCTAGGAGCACAGTATGATTTCATGTGATGTAAGGCTGAGCAGCTTCCTCTCTAGAGTCCCACTGAGACACAGGGGATGCTGTCCAGCTCTGTGACATCCTACCTGTCACAAGTCTGCATGGACAGAAATCCCCTAAAGGGCTCACCTCCAGATGCGCAGGGTCACACAGCCAGAGACAGCCTTGCTCCCATTCCCAAAGCTGGGAAGCAAGACTTGGCCTTCTCCTCCTCCTCCAGAGTGCCCTGCTGGAACATATGGCTACGGCTGTCGCCAGATATGTGACTGTCTAAACAACTCCACCTGCGACCACATCACTGGGACCTGTTACTGCAGCCCCGGATGGAAGGGCGCACGGTGTGATCAAGGTAAGGATACCGGCGGGTAGTGATGACGACCTCTCATTGTGTGACCACCGTGTGCTGGCCAGCACGAAGCATTTACACTGCCAGCATCTAACATGTCCTCAGCACAGCTCTACGTGGCAGCATCCCTGGTTCCTAGTTTAGTTGCCAGATGGATGCTTTACTGTCGCTGTCCTAAAGATAAAGGACCAAAAGCTTAGGTTTTGTAATTTTTCTCAAGGTCACAGGAATAATATATAGAATATGTCATGGCTTTCATGCCAGGTTCTCTTCCAAATCTCGTGAACATTCCACTGGCCCTGTGATAACTGATATGTAAAACCCACACCTGTTTAAAATATATAATTTGATAAAATCTGAGATATTTATATACCATCATAAAGACACTCTCCATCACCCTCTAAATTTTCCCATGCCCACTGTTGCTATCACTCAGGCCACCAGGCAATCACTCATCTGCTTTCTGTCACTGCAAACTAGCACACTACATGGAGATCAGTCATCTAGAATTCCTTAAAAATGGAATCACACTGTACTCATTTTTTGGTTTTCATTTTTTACTCAGCAACTCATTTTGAAATTGAACCATGTTATTGTATGTATCAGTAGTTCAGCTCCTTTCATCCAGTATTCCATTCTACAGATATAATTTGTTACCGGTTCATGTGTTGGTGGACTCATGAATTGTGTGAAACAATTGGAAACATTAGAACTGTTTCCAGTGTTTGACTGTTACAGATAAAGCTACTTATGAACAATAATGAATCAAGTCTTTGTACAGTTGTGTGCTTTCATTTCTCTTGAGCAGATACCTAGGAGTAGAATGAATGGGTGATATGGGGAGCATATGTTTAACTTGTTAAGAAACTTACGTCCATGGTTTTTAACTAGGATGTACCTCATCATCTCTTGGGAATAGTTAGCTCATATATATTGATACATAGTTCCATTTGGACTATCATGATTCTGGGGTGGAGGGGGCCTTTGGGAAAGTCCTCCTGATGGTTCCAGTCCTCCTGCTGCAGTGGCTCTTTGGTAGGCAGTCAGCAAATGGGCTACAAAAGGCTCTGGAAAATCTCTGTAGTGTTGTAGGCGGAGTCATCTTGTACTGCACACTGGATGTATTTCCACTTAATTTGTTTCATAAAATAACTTACCCATGCTCATGGATTTACATTTGACCACCACAGCAGCAGTTCCGTTTCACGTCATTATCACAAACACTTTGTAATCTCACCATGCTGGCCTTGATGGCCTGTGTTTCAGAGCAGACTTTTATAAGAAGATCTTCTAGCATTCAGAATTATAAAACTGTAGGGACATTTATTTGAACTTGAACCCGGTATGTGGAGGCCAGTTTCCTCATTTACAGAAGATAAATCTGCAACCCAGCAGTTCAAGGGAAAGTGCAGAGTGCCTGGATCAATTTATTAACAGATGCCAGATAGCTTGATTCTCAATCCATGACTGTAGAGTCCTCACTTGGCGGACCACAATGGAAAAACATGTAAAGCTGAATTTTGTGTTTAATGAGTAAGGTTTTAGGGTGATGTTATCAGGTATTATCAGGACAGATCTTTCTGTCATGAAAAATAACTTTGCATAGGACAATATCTGCCGAGGTAAAAGATCCACAGAAATTAGCATAAAGCAGGTTCTGTTCTGGGACTGTATGATTGCTTGAAAGTTAAATTGCCCTTAGAAATACTGTGAATGGAGAAAAGATTAAAATTGGACAGTTGGGAAATTTAAGATTTAGCTCTGCATAATAAACTCGGCACTGAATCATAAATAAAGCAAAATAAAATAAAATAAAAATTAGATCTACCCCAAATTAATTACCTGTCTGAGTATTTCATCTGAAATATTATGAGAAGTTCCAAAACCCTACAGGTAAGTCTTGGGGTTTAAGAAATCCTGCCTCTTTTTAAATTTTATTTTTATTTTTAGTGATGGGATCTTCCTAAATGGTACAGGCTAGCCTTGAATTCCTCCGGGGTTCAAAAGTCTTGAATTCCTCCTGGGTTCGAAAGTCTTGAATTCCTCCTGGGTTCGAAAGTCTTGAATTCCTCCTGGGTTCGAAAGCCTTGAATTCCTCCTGGGTTCGAAAGTCTTGAATTCCTCCTGGGTTCCAGCAAGTATCCCACCTCAGCCTCCAAGTAGCTGGGCCTGTAAGCAGGTATCACCATAGGCCCAGATTCCTTCAGTTGTCTCCTTGTGAGGTTTAGAGCAGCCGTCCTCTGGGCACTGTTAAACCAACAGTGTCTAAAAATGACGGGTGTTTGTTTTTCCTTTCTGCTCTGTTTCCAAACTAACATTTATGAACTGAGGATATCCAGGAAAGAGGTTTTTGTCAGTAGAGATCAAACATTTACCCAGAACACTGTCAGCCTTTCTCAAGCCTCTTCCTCTCCTTTTTCAGCTGGTGTCATAATAGTTGGAAACCTGAACAGCCTAAGCCGGACCAGTACTGCTCTGCCTGCTGACTCTTACCAGATCGGGGCCATCGCGGGCATCATCATTCTTGTCCTAGTTGTTCTCTTCCTCCTGGCATTGTTCATTATTTATAGACACAAGCAGAAGGGCAAGGAATCCAGCATGCCAGCGGTGACCTACACCCCTGCCGTGAGGGTCATCAATGCAGATTACACCATTTCAGGTAAGGCTGGAGACGGGACAGGTATTTTATGCATTGAAAAGTTACATTTCATCCTGGCTGTACCATCCATTGTTTCTGTCAATTCTCCTTCCGAGAACCGTATGTTTGGAAAGAGCGTCAATTGTTAGAGAAGTGTTTTATATCTCAACAATAGTTGAGGGATAGTTTTTGTTAGCTATGAAGGGTTTTTAAATTGGCCTTAAATTTGGGAAATGTCAATCCAGAAGAAATCGTGCTGGGCAGCCAGTCCCGGGTGAGCTGTTGTATGTGGAGAGGGAGGGGAGGAGGCGAGGACCGGGAGGGCACCGAAGTCATGGAGCAGATCAGGGACACGACCCAGTCTCCTGTCTCTGGCCTGGGATGCTTTCCACAGGTCCTTCTGGACTCTCCCCAGGTCCAGCTGAGTCTGAAGAGAACCAGGCTTTATAAGGACCAGTTTGGGGCATTAGCTCTAACTAACACAGTCCTTTAAGAAAGCTCTTTTCGGCTCGGCGCCTATAGCTCAACTGGCTAAGGCGCCAGCCACGTACACCTAAGGTGGTGGGTTCGAATCCCCAGCCCGGACCCGCCAAACAACAATGATGGCTGCAACCAAAAAATAGCCGGGCGTTGTGGCGGGCGCCTGTGGTCCCAGCTACTTGGGAGGCGGGGGCAGGAGACTCGCTGGAGCCCGGGAGTTGGAGGTTGCTGTGAGCTGTAGCGCCACGGCACTCTGCCCAGGGGGACAGCTTGAGGCTCTGAAAAAAAAAAAAAAAAAGAAAGCTCTTTTCAATATTCCCTTCTGTCACAAGTCCTCATAAAAGGAAACAAAAGCATAAATGACACACTCTCTCATCAGTAGGGGTAACCACTTACACTGAGGAATTTGAAACTTTAAAAATCTTTATTCATTCCAGGGCAGTCACTGAAAGATTTCAGGTTGGTTATGTGTTTAAAAACACATGATTCTGTTGAATATAGAAAGTAGTTAATATGCACACAAGTGCACGTTCAGTGTTAAAGTATTATGTCAATAACTCGAGTGCTTAAAACAAAGAGGAAAGTTACAGCAGAGGGAGCTTCCAACGCTGCCTTCCCAGCGTGTACCCGACCCCAGTAGCAGTCGTCTGTGGAGACTTTCATCCTTTTCCAAGGAGGCAGTAGGAAGGCAGAGGCCTGCTCTTCTAGAAGCTTAGCTGAGTAGGCTGGGCAGGAGGGGATTCTGCCTGGCTTGTGATGGGGAATCACTCTGGCTGGTCTGTTCCTCTGATTCCATTTTGACACCCAGGTTCAGAGGAGCGTGCTGTCTTAACCATTTTCTTCTCTTTTCACAGAAACCCTTTCTCACAGCAATGGTGGAAATGGGAACAGCCATTACTTCACCAATCCCAGTTACCACACACTCACCCAGTGTGCCACGTCCCCACATGTCAACAACAGGGACAGAGTGACCATCACAAAGGTGAGGGTGGATGGCTCGAGTCTTTGAGGTGGGCGGGAGAGAGGTTAGCAGAATCAACTCCAGGCAAAACTGACAGTTTTGTCTCTTGTGACCACCTGTCTTCTTGTGCCCCTTCTTGGCCACCTACACTTCAGTAACAATCATGAGATGTGCTGATTTTGGTTGAACCACATGAAGTTGCTATTTTTGTAGGTCAAAAATGGTCAAATGCAAAACATTTTGAATCATTTCCCAAATGTAAACTCATTGTGATCTTTACACTCATCCTATAAAGCAAAGGCTGCTAGTATCCCTCTGTAAGAGAGGAGGAAACTAAGGGACAGAGCGGAAGGAGACCCCGGTTTGTCGAGAACCCAGACCTGCTCTTGTAGCAGCCCCTGCCCCCGCTCACCCCAGGCTTGCCCACGGTGCTCTGAAATCCCAAACATTTCTCCCTTCCAATTGTACCCAAACTCGATTTTCCAATTTCTGTGGTCTAATTCCAGCTCTTTATTAGACAAAAAAAAAAATCAAGCTAATTAAATTAATCCAGTTGTAATTAAATTAATGCAGCTAGATTGTAATTATGGCGCCTCACAGTTAAATAGCACTTCACATGCTCCAGAGACTTTCACATTCATCATTCCGTTTATTCTCACATAAATGCAGGTGGGAAGACAGAGCAGATAATCTCATCCTCGTGTTTATACCCAGGGAAGCTACCGAGAGTCACTGTGACTCACACAAACATAGGTTCTGATGGGAGGGTTTAGACCAAGCATTCATTTCTTTTCCATTCAAAGTTCCATGTATGTAAATCCACATAAGGTCTGATTGACACGGCGTGAGAGACTTGAGGGAGTGGAGGGAGTATCTGGGGCTGAGGGACGCAGCCTCCTGTCACCCTCTGAGTCTCACCAGGTCACAGGTGGTCACCTCCGGTCCTCGGCTCAGCTTCCTTTCAGGGCTCGTCTTTGATATGTGCTCTGAACTTGCTCTTCCCCAGATGTGCTATGACACACTACACTCTCTCCTTACGTCTTTTACTATTTATATTTTTAACAGTCAAAAAACAATCAGCTGTTTGTGAATCTTAAAAATGTGAACCCTGGGAAGAGAGGCCTTGTGGCGGACTGCACAGGGACACTGCCCGCTGACTGGAAACACGGCGGCTACCTCAATGAGCTCGGTGAGTCCTCTCGACACACGTCCCCACCTTTATCTTGTGGTCACCTGAAATAGTCCCCGATCTCTGCCTGTGCCAAAGTGGTCTGTCAAAAATTTTCATCAAAAAGTAGAGAATTACGCCCCACGCCTTCTGAGGATTCACTGCTGTCCTCAGGGCTTATGGATTCAACATTAGGAGTGCCTACTATGGGCCAGAAATTGATCCAAAGAGACTTATCTCTTACCCTCTCAGAGCTGATTGGTTCATTTGTTAAATGGGGGGAGCAACCGGTACTGGCTCATTGTGTAAGTCAGATGACACTCAGCATTTGAAAGCCCTGACCCAGGATTGGTCCATAAAAGGGGTATCTACTTCATACTGCTCATCTGTTTAGCCCTTTGGGGAAGCCTGGCCATTGTTCAGCTAAAACACAAGACTTTGCTACAGTTTGCTTGTGGCCAAGGGAATTTGCTAGGAATAACATAGGCCGATCTCCGCAGTGGGGTTGCCCTAAAGCAGGTGTCTTCAAAGTATGGCTCACGGGCCACATGCGGCCCGCCTAGGACGTTTTCCGATGCACGGGGTGTTTTTGCTGCCACTGCCTGTCTTGCTTAGCAGCCAACTGGTCCTGGGGCCCATAGTCCAGCCCTCCAATGGTCTGAGGGACAGTAACTGGCCCCCCTGTTTAAAAAGTCTGAGGACCCTTGCCCTAAAGGCTACAGGGCCCTGCACCAACTTCATGGAGTCTCTTTACCAAGTCAGGGAGTCCCCCAAACTACCCTTGCTTCTGATATCAGCTGTGAGTTTAAGGGTCACCAAGACTCCCTTACGGATTAGTAACTTGCCAGAAGGCTCCACAGAACTCATCCAGTGGTTATACTCATGGTTACAGTTTATAACAACAAAAGGATACAGGTGAAAATCAGCCAAGGAAGGAGGCCCGTGGGCCAGAGTTCAGGGAAGTTCAGGCAGGACTCTGCAGTTGTCCTTTTCCAACGGAGTCCTGGCAGCGCTAACTTGTCCCTGCCGTGATGTGTGACCACACACACAGCATACTGCCGACCCGGAAACCCACCTCAGCCTTTGCTCTGGGGGGGCTTGATCACACAGCCATGCTCCACTGCTCATGTGCTTGACCTTTAATCTCCACCCTTCCAGAAGGGGCCACAAGACCCAAATGCCCCTATGATAAATCACCTTTTTACACTATCTAGTGTAGTTCTAACCCCCAGGTTAACAAAAATATTCCCATTGGGCAGGACATTCTAAGGACTTAGAAATGCTTCCTGGGAGCTAAGCCTCTCTTTGGTAAGGTTAACTCTTTACCACATCCATTCATCCCACCTCCCTGCATAACCACGTGCCTTTCCACCAGCTGGGAGCTCGGCTGAAGTCTTCACCCCTAATCCGGAGAGAGAAAAATACTCCCCTCTCCTGACCCAGGGTTTTACACACCCTGTCCCTTGAGGGGAACCTCTCCCTTTTTCCACAGCAGTATGTCCTACTCTTTGGTCCCCAGAAAACAGCACCGTGGCAATTTGGGCTTACCATTGGGCTAGAAGAGGTGTGCCCCGTGGCAGGGGTTTCGTTTCATCCGGACCCTCAAATACTTACCTGGAATGTGCATCACCAGTCAGCTTTACTCTCGCCTTTTAACTCAAGTCTGCAACGTTCTTTTAAAAGATCATTGAAAATGCCTTAGAAGGTTACAGAGGGACTGAAGCTGGGACCAGAGTGACATGTTAAGGGTTACAGTAATTGAAACACTACTTACTTGTCGGGTGCTTCAGAGTTTCCAAAGCCTTTTCCTCTGCTCTGTTTAACTTAATGATGGTAATTGAAGCTGGAAGGCAAGGTTTGTTTTCCCCATTTTAGAGATGAGAAAATTGATGCCGAGAAAGTTGAGCATCTTGGTATGACGTAATTAATCTTTGTTTCCCAATCTAGGGGCTTTTTCCTCTTTATCACAACACAGCTCCAATAGAACCTTCCTGTCTGATGCAGTGTGAGCCATGCAATTTAGCATTTACACACCAGATGGTATAAAATGGGCTTGGTATTGTCCTCCTAGTTTTCTGGTAATATTATGACTCTGTAATTAAATGATTGATTATATTTATACAAGGGGCTTTTGACCTGCTGGATTGCCGTAAGGGGTCGCTTGTACTCCCTCACTTCCCTACTTCATTTTTCCCAGTGTGAGCAGAAACAATCCTCTTCTGTTTCCCCTTTCAGCCTCAAAAAATAAAAGTTAGTCATTTTAAAAGAGGAAAGCTGTGTAGGCTCACACAGGAGCATGCCCCGATACCTGGAAAAGTCAGACTGTTAAAATAAAAGCTGAAGCAAGATGGGCAATAGCGAGTAACGCTTGTAAGGTGTTAGTCAGCCGTGTGTGGCACTTCCAATAATATAACTGACTAATGATACCGAAAACCAGTATGGCCTTGAGTGATCTGCACGTAGGCTTGAATTTTCATTTCCAGTCTTAGCTTGTCCTGTGTTTTCACTGTGCTACCTTGAACCAAGTATACTGATTGATCTCCATGCCTCAGTTTCTTCCATGTTTTGATCAGCCCTTCCCAAAGTCGCTGTGAATGATTGGGTTGTGTGTGTGTATTTAATTTGCTGCAGGGAACAGGCCCGCACCCACGACCTTGGAAGTTCTCACGGGGTGTTTTCTCTTCCTTTATCACAGGCGCATTTGGACTTGACAGAAGCTATATGGGAAAATCCTTAAAAGGTATGGTATAAATTTTAGGAAGAAATACATATGTCGGAATCACAATTTTTTTCTTAATTTTATCTTGGAGACTGATATATTCTTCAACAGGAGGAAAGGCAGACTTGCTGAATGACTACACCAAACACACAAACCTGTTTGATTGGCTTTGTTAGAGTTTAAGTCTTGGTGGTGGTAGTGTGTGTGTGCGGGGGGGGGGGGACCAAAGATCCTTTAGCTGAGGAATCATTCATTTGCCATTTGCCCTTTGAAAGAAATAGGCTTATGGAGAGAGAGAAATGTAAGAAAAGGAACTAGCAGGGAAAACAAGGTCAGCAGGGTCCCATGTTGACTGAGGTCTGCTGTTCAGGGTGAGTTTGAACGCCAGGGTGCCCAGGACGGTGGCTTCACAGGGAATCTTCATGGCACAAATGCCTTCTCATCATGGTAATATGAACGACCCTCTTGGTTCTCCTGGGACCATCAAGAGCTGGTTTCTTGATTGACCTCTAAGGCTTCGATTGGTAAATTTTCTATTGGTAATATAAGATGGAATTAATTACATTGGAATATGATCATCCTGATGAAATCACACCCATGATTTACATTGGTACTTACCTTGGAGGGGTGCTAAAATTGCTTTGTGGCTGGATAATCCTACAGAAAATTCTCCAAATACATAGAAAAGGTATAACAGTATTTTCATTGTATCTAATCGCAGGAACCCAGCTATAAAGAAAAAGAGGCAACTTGCCCAAGTAAATTATCACCAAGAAACGAAGCTGCCTTGAAACAACATTTGCCTTTTTCTTCTCATTTCCCTTCACAGACCTGGGAAAGAATTCTGAATATAATTCCAGTACGTGCTCCCTAAGTAGTTCTGAAAACCCATATGCCACGATTAAGGATCCACCTGTACTTATCCCCAAAAACTCAGAATGCGGCTATGTGGAGATGAAATCACCGGCACGAAGAGATTCTCCATATGCGGAAATCAACAACTCAACTTCAGCCAACAAGAATGTCTATGAAGTTGGTGAGTCCTCCTAGCCATAGAGAAAATCTACTCCGTAAGGTTTTTTTTTTAAGAATTTAAAGTATTTGTGAATAAAATAGTTGTAGTTCGCATAAGCCTTATGGAAAATAATGGTCCATGTGTAAGATGCAGCCTTGTGGTTACGGTGATCATACTGGTTGGTTTCAAATGCATTTTTCAAGGAAAATGCCATTTAAAAAATTTATAGTAAGTATTCCTTGTCTTCTACGAGGTCATCCGTCTTCTGTTTTGTAACCATAGTGAGTAGTATTTTAGCAGACATGTGGAAAAGTACGTGTATTGCATTAGCTAATATAGCTAGTTAGCCAAAATAAATAGTTCAAGTGGATTAAACAGGTGGTTGCATTTCCTGCTTGTATTCATTATACTAATAAAATACTTATAGCAGGATTGAAGCATTTTACTTTTAAACTTCTCTAATATATCAGTAATATTCTCACATGTGAATCTGTACAGATTAATAAGAACTCAATTTAAAATTAGAGTTATCTGGATTGCCCTTTGCAAACACCATTTGGGAAATGGTAAAACATACCACAACCACCTATATATTTTAATTATTTATTATTTCTTTCTCTCTCCCTCCCCCAATTTGTCTGTCTGTCTTTACTGGTATTTATGATTTTAACCTTTAAAAATTCTCTACTACTTTCAATGAAGTAGCTAACTTATCACTAGTAATTCATTTCATGCCAGGCGTGTAACTGAAAAAAATAAAAGTCTGTAAAACGATTTATTTTTAAAGTAGTAAGACAGCTTTTTAAAATGGAAGCCAGAGTGAACTAACTTAATGTTTCAACACTCAGTAGCAATTCCTCTTTAAAAAAGTGTCCCAAAGCCTGCAGCAGTACAACGGGGACTCAGCTGAAAATGTGGGTCTGGGTAACTGGTTGACTGTGCCCGTGAAGTGAGTTAACCTTCAGGGACCTCAGTCTGGGCTAGATTTCCCCAAAGTGTTTTTCAGACAGTGATTCATAGCCACGCTCTCTGTATATCCCCTTGATGTGGTCCCACCCAGCCATGTGCTCCTCTTGTTGTTTTGAACACCATTTGTGCACGTCAGTTAGCCCAACAACCACAGAATGGCCACTCGCGTGTGATTGCAGAGGAATCATGTTTTAAAAACCATTATTTCCTTTTATTTTTATACACAGTCCTTGTGCATGTTTCATATTTGCAAGAAACACTGTATTCCTTGTTAAAAATTGTTTTCCATTGCCAGTAAATGCATGTGTCCTTGGTTATCACAGAACCTACAGTGAGTGTTGTCCAAGGAATGTTCAGCAATAACGGGCATCTCACCCAGGATCCTTACGACCTCCCAAAGAACAGTCACATCCCTTGTCATTACGACCTGCTGCCGGTCCGAGACAGTTCATCTTCCCCCAAGCGAGAAGATGGTGGCAGCAGCGGCAGCAGCAGCAGCAGCAGCAGTGAATGACACCAGAGGACTACTTGGTAACTGCTGGAAAATTTTCCACAACTGCAGTTGGGTTCTTCTCCATTTTCAAGCTTGCCCCCTCATGTGAATGTTAATCAACTTGGTGGGCAGCTGTTGGACATGAACCAGAAAGCTCAGAGCTGAGGCTGGCACTGCCTGTAGATGCTCCTTGTACAGGCGGGGGCTTGGAAGGAGAGAGCGACTTCATTTCCCATGGCTGTTAGTTTTAGAGCTGCACTCGTGAAGCATGCCTTAGTGTCACATGTGGCTGGAAGCATGAACTTGCAGAACTCCTTCGGAGACACGGGTTGCAGTGGACGTTGGCATGGTGGCTTGAAAAATTAAAATTTACACATTTTATTTCTCATTCACATCATAGATCTGCACTTAGGACTGTACACTGTACAGTTTCTCATAAAATTTACTTCCTAAGAGTGGGACTCACTAAACATGTAGAGAAAAGGGGGCCCATGACTGAGTCCTTGTTGCTTAATATTTTTCAGCCAGACTCAGACTTCTGGTGATAATCTGAATGCAGGAGGAGGCTGTCTGTCCCGAGGCACGACTGGATAGACTTTGAATACACTCTAGAAGTGGACAGAAAATTTAAACATGAAAACCTTAGGTTTTACTTAGAATGGGAAATCGTACAATTAGGATAATGTTAGAAATATTAGAAGGCTGTGTATTGCGGAAGTCAGTATACAAATATGCCAGGCAGAGGTGGTTTTTCTGTTTGATCCTTGGCCCACTTTCATTACATTATTCTGATCACTGTCCCCATCATAGTTATTTACCACTGGATATTCATAACATATCAATGATTAGTTCATAAATAGATAAATAATTTTATTTTTGACAGACCGGGTTGAATGAGTGTGCCATGATTGGTAAGGACTGTAAATTTTAAGTGTAAGAAGATACTTAAGATTTGTAAACCATTAGTAGTACATGCCGTAATATAGAATTAGCAAAAAATTTCGATTAATTTTTCCCTGTAAGTGACTGAAATATTTTTGTGCATATTTGAGAAAAGGGCACTTTCCTTTATTAATTGTCAATTTAGAGAAACTATGCTTAAGCTGGTCTTTTGCATCGCTAATTGACGTGTCCCCCATTTTTCATTAATGTGTATTTCCATTGTTAAGTTGTATATTCTATATTTTGTAGTATTTGGATTGTTAATGAAAAAACGATTCTGTGTTCATTGTTTCTTGTACCATTACCACTCATTTTTTGCTTGATTAAAACGTATTATTCTTTTTTTTTTTCTTTTGGAGAGAGGAGATGAAAATATATAATTAGAATCTATTAAAACTGGTTGTTATTGAAATAATACAGTAACCCAGGTGATTGGCTTATGATTGAAATAGAGAAGCATTTTGGTATTTTAAGAGGAGTTCCTTTTGATCTGTTGGTTCCCTAAATCAAAGGAAGCGTTGTCACTGAGTCAATATTACAGACTCATCTTACTAAAACCTTCTTCATGGCGATCACGTGATTGATCATCCAAACTGGGGCACTTTGGAGAATAAATGAGGGCGTAAGTCCAGCCCTGGGCTTAAGTCTGGACTGTTCCAGCAAACCAGAACAGATGCTCACCCTGCACATACTTAGGTAATAACAGTTTTTACTCCAAGGAAGTTGTCTCATGAGATTGCTGATATGATGCAAGAAACCCAGTTTCACTTTTTTTGATCTACTTGAGCAAGCAGAGGGGCTGAAATGGTGAATCAGAAAGAAAATTCATAAGAGAAAATGATGATCTTCAATATTTTGAAGACATGATACCCTATATGGCATTCTGTTCCAGGGAGTCACTCAACAAAGATGTAGAACGATTCGTCTGGCCTCATCCCAGCCAGTTACCAAGTTGGGTAACTGGTCACACACCTGTACCTGAGATGGTGGTTGGGAACAGGCGCCCAGTAGCCTCTTACAACACTCACCCCTTGGAAGGCTGTTTCTTTTAAGGAACTCCAAAGTCAATTTACAGAAATAAGGCATTGCCTGGAACAATTTTAGAAAAAATGGATTTATTTCAATAGTTGACCACTGGCTGACCCTTGACTCTAGGGGACAGGCATCTCATTGAGACATGTGTGAGTCAGTAGACCAAGAGTCCTTTTTGGTAAATAATAATAATAATAATAAGACATTTCCCTTTTCCCTTTTAGGGAACCTCTCTTTAGAGCTCTGTGGTAAGATGAGTTTTCCCATTACTCCCTGAAGAGAGGTTTTAAAAAAAAACAAAACTGGGTTCTTTTCTCATTTCACTACTTAAAAAAGGAAAGCCTCATGTACAAAGGCAACAGCGACTTAGGTAGAAAACCTGGTCAACGCATATAAACTGCAAAGGGCCACCGCCATCCCTGCTGGTGTGTTTTTTTTTTCTGAGAAATTGCTCAGGCTGATGTCCAGAAATATTTGTACCTGAGGCAATTCTTAATCAGAGTTCACTCGGGAGTTTTCAAACATCAGACCTCGCACTGAGGTTTGGATATTGTAACACTACATGTCAATTTGAAGAGGTCTGGTTGAGAAGGCAAAATTTTCCTGGTGTTTTGGTATAGATTTGTGTAGAGAGGATTACTTTTGTCAGAATAAGAATTAAGCAGAAGACAAAAGGACCTGGAAAGTTGTTTTCCCCTGAAATTACAAACTTTAGGAATTTTTCAGGTACATCAAATGTACTTTGATGGCAATACCATTCCTATACAAGGTGAATCTATTCTCATGATCTTTGAACCTATATTAATTTTGGACCCTAACATTAATTTTTCCCCTAAATCCGGTCATGGGCATGGAGGTAAATGATTTTGAAGATAATTGGCAAAAACCATTCATATAGGAATGTCAGCCTGACTATGATTTCCTTAGAAGTTGATGTATCAGAAAATTTATAAATTATTGGCCCAAATGATAACTCCTATATTTGCCTTAATAAAAAGACTATTTGATTTGTAGTTAATTAGAGGTGGTAAGGAAAACGTCACAGTTATTTTATAGGGCTTGACATTAATTCCTCGCCTATGGCATAGTAATAATGTTAACAGAATTCAATGTGTTTAGCATTATCTTTACGGAATTTTTATTCACCGATTTCAGGAAAACCAACCATAGAGGTTTATAATAGGACAGTTACAACCTGGCCCCACTAAATCCATTAGCACAATGATTATGTGTTTCGAGAAATTAAATAATTTATGAAAATGTAGTCATTTTGACCTTAAAGATCCACATTAGTGGCCAATTATTCCAATTATTGAGACTTTTAAACCCTAACTATTACAAAAGTTTAACAAGAGTATCATAACACCATTTATAATTTTCGTCATTATTAGAAGTCCATTTTGTGCTTAAAATAAGACAAAATCAGAAAGCAATTGGTTTTAAGGGTTTTTTTTTTTTTAATAATGAATTTTCTCTGGGTAAAATCTCGTTTTTATTCAAACTGAATCTCTAAGAGATGCCATGGTCTTAAAGGCTTTATGTGATGGCTGTGTACATGGAAACGCATGTGCAAATCTCGGGGTAAGGACACGTGCTTGTCTGTTAGCTAAAGATGTACAGCAAACTGCCCTTGTGAGTCCTGTTAATAACGGTGTCCTAACATCGGGTCTGCTTCTTCTAGTTCCATACTTAGTCTAGGCTTCACTTTGATACAAATGAACTGCAGAATATATTTTTAAAAGGAAAAAAAATCAAAACACATTAGGATTTACTTGGTTGTAGCAAACAAAGAAAGTGCTTTCCGTGTTGAAATATCTCTATTTTCCAAAGATGATAAACCTGCATCAGTCTTAGTCTCCCTTGTCATTTATATCGCCAAATGAGTTATAGATTAATGCAATAAACTTTCTAATTAAAACATTCTGAAGTCATGTTTCTTCCTATATTTGAGTCTATTATTTATATAACAAGAGCAAAAATCTCATGATCCTATGGGAAAAATTAATACGCTTTTCATGTGCAGCCCCACAGCACTTTACAGATACCCTTTAACAACAATAACACTTTATTATGTTTAATTGTTTGTGTATGTAAGCGGCTTCTGCCCACTACTTGCTCTTTAGGGACAGAGGCAATATTTTCTTCGTATTTGAATCCCTGGATCTCAGGTTAGTGGCTAAGACTCAAGTCTTCTGCAAATAGCTGTAGGTTATTTTATGTGGATTTGCTTTCTAAATCTCAGTGCCTGTTAAATTGCAAAACTGTACACAGAGGTGGCCCACACACAGAGACTATTTTGCAAATATTTTGTAAAATGTCACGAATAATTTGTAAAGGTACGTTTAGCTATAATTTCTCATTTTCCCTATGCATGGTGACTTCAGGGTCAACTTGCGACACACCCTGTATAGTAGTTCCACAGTACAGGCACAATAAGTGTAAATAACCTCAAGAGCATAGCTAAGAGTAAAAGGTAACAAAATAATTAAAATGGAAGAATTTTGAGAAGTTATTACCGTTTGAGATAAAATTTACTGAATTATAAGTTTGTATACTTCAATTTTAACTCTGCCTATGTTTAACACCTGGCTCACGGTAGTCCCCGAGATTTAACAGTTGGCTCTCAGAAGTCTGCAGGAGCTGCTTCAGCACGTCACCAGGTTACCACAGCCTGATTTCTGATTGTCCAAGCCTGATCTCTGCCCAAGCCTCGGATATTGACTGGTACGATGCAGCAGCTGGAATGGAGCTGACACCACATTTTCTCCTTCACTTTCATTTTTCAACTAGAACAATCGAGGTCCAAAATATTCACCCATTCACGTAAAAAAAAATACCATGAGCTGAGTTTCCCTGGGTGTGTGTATTTTTGATGTACTCATTTTGCCAGGAAAAAGATGACAAATCTAGATTTCCTCTTTTTAAATAGATCCTTCAACTATTTGGCCCTCAAAGAGTCCTCTTCCCTTTAGTGGCCTTCCTATGACATACTAAAGAGGAGGGCCGCTTTACTCAAGGTCCCTAGATTCCATTTAACATATAAACTC